GGATGTTCAAAAAAGTCCTCTGTGAAAAAATGTTGCCCATATACCCATATACCTCACTCAAAAAACATTTACAGTTTTAATATGGATCTCACCACTTGTGTGGCATTAGGCAGTTCTGCCTGTTTTCATAGTTTTGCTTTAACAGTTTTCCTTTGTCATTTTGCTCTTAATGTATAAGTCACAAAAGAGTTTCCTTTCTAGTATTCTTTTCTTCCTTTCCCAGACTGTATCATGTGATCTAGTTCCCATGTGCACCTCATGAAGATCAACGAGCCCAAGTGCAAGGTCCTGCATGTGGATCAACCACAAATATGGACTGGGTAGAGAAAGGATTGAGAGCAGCCCTGAGGTAAAGACTGGGTTGACAAGAAATTCAGCATAACCCAGCAATGTGCACTTTGAGCCCAGAAAGCCATCTGTACCCTGGGCTACATTAAAAAGAGAGTGGCCAGCATGTTGAGGGAGGTGATTTCATCCCTCTACTCCACTCTTGTGACACCGCACTTGGAGTGCTGCATCGAGCTCTTGGGGTTCTCAGCACCAGAAGGACATGGAACTGTTGGAGCACATCCGCAGGAGGGACATTAAGATGATGAGAGGGCTGGAGCACCTCTCATCTGAAGACAGGCTGAGACAGCTGGGATTGTTAAACCTGGAGAAGAAAATGTTCCAGGAAGAACGTTTGTTAGGGCAGCCTTTCAGTACTGAAGAGCTGGAGGGAAACATTTTACAACGCCATGTAGGAATAGGACAAAGGGAATGTCTTTAAAAGGCAAAAAGAATCAATTTAGGTTAGATATTAGGAGGAAATTCTTCTCTATGAGGATGGTGAGGCACTGGAACAGGTCACCCAGAGAAGCTGTGGATGCGCTATCTCTGGAAGAGTTCAAGGCCTGCTTGGATGGGGCATTAAGCAACATGGTCTAGTGGAAAGTGCCCCTGCCCAGGGCGGGAATTTGGATTTAGATGATCTTTAAGGTGTCTTCCAACCCAAACCATTCTATGACTATGATTCTACAATAATTAAAATCCAAATTATTTTATTACTTTGCATTTTTGCCAGAAAAATGTTGAGATACTTTTGGATCAAGTTACTGGCAGTTGAAGAGTATGGCTGAAAAAAACCCACAGTTCTTAAATGGTCATCTGATGGGAAATCTTTGGGAGGAGGTAGAGGAAATAATGACACATACAATCCTTCTACAAAATCCACCTTAAAAACATTTCTTACATGAAATATTATTTTTATCAGACTGTGCATCTTTTATTTTGCTGCCCTTGCATGGTTATATTTCTCCCGTAAGTAATGACTGATACTGGACAGGAAGGAAGTGACTCGCTCTTACAGGGAAAAAAACCTACCACCTAAATGTAGGAAAAGGTTCATAAATACTTCCAGAAACTAGCAATTCGACAGCTTGATCTTGAAATCCTAGGAGTAAACTTAGAAAAAAAGTTCCTGCCTTCATTTTGGTGCATGTTGGAAAAGAAGCTATTTGGATCCCTTTTACTCTTGCCCGTGTCTCTTTTCCTGAGCACACTCTGAGCACGCTGCCCATCGAACTGCTGACCGCCTGTTCCTCATTAAGGCATGCGGTGCAGAGAAACATGCCAGCAAGAAAACCAATGAAGCAACACAATCAGCAGCTGAGAACCCTTTCCCACTAAGTAGCAGGAGGAAACGAAGGAGAAAAACCTCATCCTTTCTCTTTGCAGCTCTACTGGTGTGAACTAATTTAATAGGGATGAGCAGCCACAAAGGCAAACAAGTTAAGTGACATGTGGTAGGTTACAGATATACTAAAAATGAAGCCAAGAATCTTCATTTTCACAGCTTCTAAAAGGAAAACTCTGAGATCACAGACTTTCTACTGTATTGACAGTCTGTAAAAAAACTCCCTCTAGATCTTAATCAACAGTGTATATAGAGAAACACGGGACAGGCTTATGTGTGAGAGTGTGATGGGAAAGAAAACTAAATGGAAAAGGCTCAGGTCAGATCAGAAATGTGATGTAGGCAAGAAAGTCACAAAATGGAGAGGAAAAGAAGGGACAAATTTGCGTATTTTTCTAATATCTCATTTTTTCAGCTATAACAAATGCATTTAGGAGGACTCCCCCTTATCTTTCAGCTAATAATCCCCTTCTACATAAATCCACTTTTCTGAACTGAGAAACCTGACAACATAAGAGGAAAAAGAATCAGTTTTTTTTGCAAAAGTGGAATATGCTACTCAGAGAACTAAAGTCACTGATGGTAGAGATCACACAGGGGCTATGCAGAAGTCACTAGCTTCTTGTCAGTTTTGTTGGCAGATAATGTTTCTGTGAGTGCATGTCTGAACTTGTATAGGCATGCAATACAGAGATGCACCTCTCTGTATGTGTTAGAGGACTTTTCCTAAAGAACCTCCTTCTAGACAAGGGGAACGCTTGGCAAGATTCTGGCCAGAGAAAAGCTTATTAGAGATTCAGTACAACTTGGCTGCATCCTGTGTAGGCAAATAATAACAATGAAGTTGTTATTTGAAGCACAGAAAAAGAAACCCTACAAAAAGACAGTAGCTCTGTTGTACACCTGCAAGCAGGACTCTCAGATGGGCCATCAGTGTGCACACAGTAAAACGAAGGGTGATGCACTGAACTGCAATAAAATGTTACATTCTCCAAAGTTCTGTGCATCTGTTCCTCAGCTTCCCAGCCTCTCCTAGCAAACTACTGACTGTTGGGATTTTTCTGAATTATTCTGTGAGACCCATCTGACCATCTACCTGGGTTTCTCTTGGAGACACTGCTGATCAGCCCCACACTCTTGACTTCAAAGAGACTCACTCTCTTAAGTCTTGTAACATGCAAGCCTTTCCAATTCTCATTTCAAAATCATGCTCATTGCAGATAGACTGAAATGGGTGTTTCAAGCTCTTTCACTTCCCAAAAGTAAGCTGGGAACCCTATATGTATATTTGGAACTGGAACTGGGATACATATGTGGACAGTAATGAAACTAGATTTCTAAAAATCTGACCCCAGGGTTCAGTAGAATTCTATTTAACTGAAGTTGGATTGTGGAATGTCAGTGGATAATGTGCCAGAAAAGTCTTTGCACTGAGTGTGTCATTAATAGATTATATACATAAGAGACATGATTTTTAGGCTTCAGGTCAAAAAGTTGCCTTTACATTTTTCTTGGAACTTCCCAACTATTTTATCCATGGTGCAAGTGATAAATATTCTAAAGGCATTCCTAATACTGACAAATATGAATTACATTTATGTACATTCACAGTTATAGGTTCATTGTATGAGACACTATGACCCTAAATCTGTAGAGAAAAGGTATGTTTATAAACATGTAGAACCTCTCTAGAACAGATAATTTAGTCAATGAAGAGTGAATCACTGAAGTTTCATGTTAGATAAAAAATATTCAAGCTTAAAAAAAAATTAAATTAACCTTTGGATCTGCAAAAATTGCTTGGAATTATTCCAATATAACATCCTTCTTAAGATTATTTGGGCTTCCTGCCTTTGGTTGACTGGGAACATGACCAAAATGATCACTTGTCATTTCATTGAGTAGGACTGAAAGGTATGACAAATAACAATCCAATCCATTCTCTCTATCAAAATCAAGAGCACTCATTTACATCATATTATTTCATAACTCCCACTTCTGTGGAAATCTGTGTCATTTTCTTGGCCTTAGTCTGGTTAACCTCTTCAAGAGCAATGTAGGAAAATTATAGATAAACCTAGATAAATGTAGTAAAAATTTAGATAAAGCTGGGAGAGAAAATTAAGATGGAAATTAATTTAATTACTAGAACACTGATGTAGGAAAGCTTGGATATTCTGATATGCTGCATGCAAGAAAATAATATCTGCTTTATATGGGACCATTATGCAGCCACACATCTGGAGTGAAAATAAAGCAGATTGAATAATCTTATGTTAATTCTAGTAATTATGAAACATTATCTGAAGATCTGGAAATTTAGATATTTTGTAATTAAAATAAACTATGAGCTAACATGTCAGAAAGTTACTGGTTCCAAGAAAATTCCATACAAAGACTTGCATGTGAAATAAACTTGATGCATACCAGCTGTCTTTCACTGCTAGCAATGTCTTAATTTTAAGTCCAAATTTACCTATGCCACACATATACCTGCTATTAAATCACATGCATTTGCAAATTGTTTAACCAGAAATACTTTATGTAAATGAGGTGACAGAAAATAATATAGCTGAGGGGGAAAAATGAATCTCAGAGCATTTCAAACTTCCTGCTCTGTGTTCCGTCATGTGGCTTTATATTTTTGTTTGTTAAGCTGAGATGTATGATTTGATACTGAGTCTATTGCCATAATTCCAACATCACGAGGTCACCACACAACTTGCTATGAGTTCCACCTAAAAGTCAGCCAGACCCTGAAAGCGCAGAACTACCACAGATACTTTGGAATTGCTTTGGCAGAGTCACAGAAGACAGCTTGCAAAATGCTTTTTCTTTACCATGACCAGCTGCATACAGTGAGATTAGGTTCAAGTTTTCATAATCGTCATGTTCACATAAACAAGGGAAAATTCCAAACCATTATTTTTGCTTAATGTATATCTTTCCCTGCAGGAAAACTGCATTTTATCTTGGCATAACTGATGCCTATTAAATATTTCTTTTCATAAATGCAAGACACCATACATTTTTTCACAGGATATTATTCAATAGCCACAAAACACAGAATTCCTGGATGCCTTAAAAAATAGAAAGTTAATAGTACCAAACCTTGGACTGAAAAGCTATCTGTGTAATCATTCACTGGGTTACTAAAATGTGAAGGGTCCTTGGGTTAGTCTTGAGCCTTTAAAGTTTGGCAGAATAGAACCTCCAGATTTACTACAGCTTAATTATTGACCTGACATAATACTTAAACTAGGTAGCACAAGCTGATGGCTTATTTGGTTAAATTAATAACTGAATAGACATATTATTTTTGTACCTTTGAAAATTTCCTGAAGTTAATGTTCCTTGGTTAATTTTCATAGCATTGGATAGAAGTCCATGTCCTGCTCAGTGAATTTATTATGGGCAAAACCTGCAAAAAGGGGAGAACACATTAATACTTATAACTACTACAGTAGCAACACATCTCTGTTCATACTGGGTTTAGAATTTATTTGCAAAATTTAGCTTATTAATTTCCATTTACTTTGCTGAATCACTCTATAGAATCAAGTTTATCCACATATAATTACCTTGTTGCAAGTTAGCTTGTTGCTATAGTTAAAATAATTGAAGCTTAGAGCCTTAATATACCCAGATTCTAATGAAAGGTTCAAATACCTAGAATCACTAAATTCTATGGCTTGTCAGGATATTTTCTGACAATATTTGTAATATTTCAATTGAAATTTCTGTTTTGGAGGTACTTAGCTTTCATAATTGTTCATTTGTCTTTTGCTAAAATGAAATAATATTGAAATCATATATAAATTAGCACAAAATATTCTCTTTTGTCTTTAGGCATGCATCAGAGAGGTAGTATATGCTTTATTAATCTGAATTCCTTGCTCTTCTTCTTCCTTGGGTAAAAACCAACAGGTAAATATCAACTTTCTCTGCTTCTGAATCACACTACTATTAAGATTTCAGATGTCATGGGAGGCTTCAGTCAGAAGGCTTCCCTAACAGAATAAAAGAGTGTTGCTTCATTTCTTTTCATGAACACAGGAAATACTTTGCTGACGTGAGCCATAGTTTCAGCCTCAACTAGGCACAAGTGTCTGACAGAAGAGACACCACCTTCCCCCAGCATCCTGGCAGTGAATCTCCCCTGCATGTGTCAGCACAAACGCTCCTGGGGCTGAGGGGACCCAGGTGAGAGAACTAATCTGTCCAAGTACTAACCATGCCAGCCAAAATCATTAGAGCAAACCACCAAAAAAGATTATTTTTCAGGTGGGTCAGCTCTTTCACTTGGCTCCCCGTGTTGTCACAGTAGTTCCAGTACTCTCACGAGAAAGGAGAATCAGGGGGCACCACATCCAAAGTCAGCATGTGCAGCTTGAAGCCCTCGCCTTGAACACATGGGCACTGAAACCACCAGACAGAGCTTTCCTGCCTAAAAATCAGCCTGTCAGTTAAAAGGGCATCTCTCTAGACTTTCTCATGCTCTGTTCCTCTCCTTCTTTGACTTCTTTTTTGACTGACTTATTTTTTAACTGACTTCTTTGACTGTCAGTCTGTCTTTTCCCCTGCTCCAGGATCTCTCTCCAGCTGGTGCACCACCCTTCTAGGAGGAACAGCCAGCCCCTGGCTGCCCAATGCTTGTGCACTCTTGAACAGCTCAGAGGGCTGACCTTGGTTTTTGAACCAACCAAGTCGTTCTTTACTGTTTCTTACAGCTGTTTGTAAGGGCAGTGGCAGAGAAGTCTACCTCTTTGAGGCTGGTGAGTGCACTTAGATTCTTCATTTCAGAACTTCTGAAAGGTCAAACTGAACCTTATTAGGAAAGCTCTGGTGACTTGCACAGACACCATCAATGCGAACAATGAACACAGATGGGGAGCATTATTTCAGTCACAGCTGGGTACCTGGGACCAAAAAAAACTGGGGCATTTATAGCTCCCAGGGAATGGAGTGGGAGGAAAAAAAGAAAGAGTGAACTCTCCCTTCAATAAATCCAAACTGGAGATAGTATAAATCAAAATGGAGGAGGCTGAAGTACATACAAGCCTAATATGCTACAAAATGAAATGTAACCTTTTCTTCTCTAATGCAGAACAGGTTAATACAGTGGCATAAACAGTAGACTCATTGTCTCAGTTAATTGGAAAGGATTGTGAATTTTAAATCATCGGTTTTTAGGCAGCCAAGATTGTGAAGGTCTGAATAAGTTTAAATCAAAAGCTGCCAGTATTTGGGAACTTAACAAATTACCTCATCGTTATTAGTATGCCATAAATAAGTACCTGCAGTATTGTGGTCCTCTAAATCTTATCTTTTTCTTATCCAAGAAAGAAATACTATAATTTTTTCCATTCTCAGTTCAGTCCTTTTTTTTTCTGTAATAAAGAAACCTATAGTAATTGTAGCAATTTCTAAGCAATAAACTTAATAATATTTTGAAAGGAAAAAAACCCAAACAAATCATTATACCTATCACTTTACTTCTAGGAGTAAATCCCAGCACAGTAAGAAAAACATTGCATGCACGAATGTTTTTTTGAGCTGTCCCATAAACTTTACTGGGACCATGGTCTCAAATTTCAGCAGGGAGCAGTTACAGCAAAATACATTGGTACCGCAATTTTCTCCATTTATAAACAATTATTTTTCTTATTTAACTATTTTCTTGAGAAGATTATACAGGCAGTATACAGTATCTTCAGAGGGCAATAGCTCTCTAAAGCTGCTTCTGCAGGTGCAAAGCAGAAATCCAGCAAGACTTATTTAGATTCCGTCCAGTAAGTTCAGTTAAGCCTGCTTCCTAATAAATCAAAATACAAAACAATGTGTTGTTAGGTTTTCAGTATGGTAGTGGCTTTGAAAACCAGTAGGTCTTCTGCAATTTCACCTTGAAAATGTAAGCTCATAATCTGTGCTGAACACTCTTAGTGTTTAAAAAAGACATAGGCATGAAATAACTACAGAAGTGAAAATTAATGTTATTATTGTATTACATAATATGTGGCTTTGGATCTCATTATTTGAAAGATTAGTTTTTCCAGCTTTCAATAATGTATTATTTTTGTTGTTTGGTTTCCAATTTTTTACCAGGGTAGTAATTGTAGGATAGTGAGACTGAAGGGTTTCTTTGACATTGTCACTAGCTACTATTGAACCTTTTTGCTCACCTTTGATGTCATATAAAGTTATGGGCAACTACTGAAGACTTGTCCTTCTCTCTGGATACCCTCAGCACCCTTGGGCATGTATATTGCTTGGGCCAAGAAGTTAGGAATTTAAAAAAGCACTCTCACAGTCAATGACCCTCAACACAACTTGTCTTTCCCAGTGGCCACACAAGCTCTCCTTTGACCACATCAGAGGAGCCAGCAATGCTCTGCCAACCTTCTGAGTGCCATAACTCTTGGGTGACCAGCACTAGGGATGGGTGAGTGCACCAGGGCACTTCCCACAGGAGCTGGTTGAATGAACAGGAGTGTTAGAACAACTTTTTTTCCCACAGCAAAATCTGTGATATAATGAAAGGACAAGAAGTCAAAAAATACACGTTTTTACCACTTACTGTGTTAGCTAGACCAAGCCTCATGATGTGAGGAAATATCAGCCATCAGCTACAGTACAAGAGGATGTGAATGAAGGATAGGTATACAAATATTTCAAGGTGATTAAGCACATTATTCCTTCACTTTTAAAACATTAATGAGGTCTTACTCTGTTTTGTAACTGTTGCTTGTTGTAGCCACATGGAGAGGTGGGCTGTGATGTTTAGCCTTAGCAATGTGAGTGCAAATCCCACAGAAAGGGTGACTGTGTAGAAGTACCAAAGGATGAATTTTGGCATTTAAATTGCTATTAAAAGGAGTATTTTTTTCCCTATTATTGCTGTTGTTATGGGAAACAAATTGGGCAAAGAATTTTTTGGAAGGAAAGGGCTTTCTAATGGCCAAGAATGTAATAGCAAAGAAAATAAAACAAAATATTAAGATGCAACTAAGCTAATGAAGAAAACAATGGTTAGAACAGCAAATTAAACAGAGGGAAGATGCTTAGAAAAACATCTTTATATCATTCGTGTTCACAGTCAGTAAGCTGACTGCATGTGGACAGAAAAACTCTTTTTTTCTTTTGTAAAAATATCTCCCTCTATTACTGAGAGAGATAGATGATTTTTAAAATATACATACTTTTTTGCTCACTATGCACTGAAGATGTTAATTTCAAGGATATAAGACAAAATCAAGAATCACCTAATTGCACCATCTGGGGTGAAACACTGACTTTAGGAATCTTTTTATCTATCCATACAAAAGAGTAATATTAGATGATTAAACAGATTAATGATGAAATAAGCCTTTAAATGACATATAGAATAGTCAAATAGCACTGGAATCAACAGGAATCTTTCCATTTACCTAAGTAGGTACTAACAAGTCCATACAGAGCAGAAAAATACATATGGAGATGCTAACTACCATTGTCAAAGTTTCCAGATCCCTGTTTTCCACATTCATGAGCATATGAAAATACAATGCTTTCCTGTAGGTGTACAAAAGAGTTCATTATGACTTAACTTTTGAGAGAAGGTTATACCATAATTTTATTCTATGGAAAAAGGATTAATTTTCTGCTTTAAATACTGCCATGTTTAAAGAAGTTGCATTTGAATTTTTAAGTTTTCTTTTCTTACTTTTATTCCTCAGGTTTCAGTGCATCATTTACTACCAAAATTCTTAATACAAATTCTTAATACAGTGAGGAACCTTGTCACAACACATTTCCAAACTGCAGTGCAGATGGAAACTTAACAGCATTCCATGATGAGAAAAGGCTTACAGCACACTGTAATACATAAAATTATTATTTATTGTTTCTGCCTTTGAACAGCAGGAGTTTAGATACTGCCAGATGGCATATTGTTTGGGAATTTGGGGGAATGTAAATGCATGTGTGGTGCTGAGAGAAATCCTCCCTGTATAACATAGATAACCCATAAAACATAGGAGAGGTTACTGTGTGCAGGATTTTTCCATACCTGGGACATACTGGTGATTAAAAGTTTTCCAAATCATTCCAGAAGTGGTAATGCATGGTTGTAACCATCTCCTGGGGCTGCAATCATCTTAATTTCACAAAAGAAACACTGTCACAAAGCCTCCAAGGAAGACCTGAGGGACTGCAGGGAGTGCTGTGTGTGATTCACTTAATCTCAGACAGACCTAAATTTATGCACTCAGTTTCATGCCAGAGGGGCAGTCTTTCAGAAAACAGGAAAACACCAGACCTACATCTTCCTACAGACTCAGCCCAAGACGTGTTCATTTCTTCCTCAGACCTATGATGTACAAAGAATGATCTCATGCAGCAGTTTCCCATTTCACTCAGAAGTAGCTTTATTTCAGTGGACAA